ACACAGAAACATATTTTAAATAAATACATTGCTCCAAATAAATCCAAATTACTTCCAGTATTTTGCCTTGAAGTCAATAGGAGTCATAATTTTATCCATACAAATTAGTTTTTCTCTGGTTTATTATTGATTCTTATCATGCTGACCTGTTTCACAATCTCCTTTTCTGTGCTGCCCCACATTTCTGCTTTGTCATTCTATTGGCTGAAAATAGAACTTTGGAGAAATTTCTGAATGCTTTCTACCACAAGAGGGTCTCAACACTGTAGTGCAGTTTGTAGGCACTACAGTAAGATAAATAGTAAATAATCATAATGAAGGCTATTTCAATTCCAAGATGGCTAGCACTTTATCATGCAGCTCCAGGAGTGTCAAGTTTTCCTTGATTCTTTGCAAGATCCTATGGCGTGTACAGCTGAGAGGGAAAAATATCTCAGCCCTGATTAAGACCTGAAGTGTTATCATACAGTAAGATTAGAATAGTGCTGAAAAGTTCAACAAACTTCATAACCTCACTTATGTAGAACAGCTGCAGTTATACAGTATGGCTAGCAGCCTCAATGTGGTACACTGAAGGTATGAAATATTTGATCCCTCTTACTGTTTGAAAGAAGAAGCTCATGAAATCCCAACATTACCCTATAACCAGTACATCTTTGCAGTGCTTACATTTCTAAGTAGCAAATTCTTTCCATATCCCAAATGTTGTGTTTATTTAAATTATTGTGACTGTATGCACTGGAAGTGGCTGATGAGAGCCTTCACAGATTCCGTACACTTTAAAGTGGTATCACTTAGATTGACATGAAGTGGTCTATAAAGTTTACGTTCTATATATAATAATGTGAAACTTTACATCTTAAGTTCTGAAAAGTCAGTGTGGCTCTACTCATGTAATTAATTTCAAAACAAGCATGCTAGGGAAAACAATCCTCATAGCTTGTTTCCTGTTGAACATAGCTATAAGGTTTCTATATTAAAAGCTGGCCACACACTTAAATCATTGCCTGGCTTTCCCCCCATCTCCTTTTTTTTTAGTTTGGGGGGGAGAAAGAGGTTAGATAAGGAAAGTAAAAGACTGCTGTGCTGCTTTTTGTGTTTGCTATGCAGTGGAAAAGACAAAATACAAAAAGAATTGAACACAGGTCTGACAATGGATTGCACTTAACCCAGCAAACAGTGCTGTAGTGTTCATTACTCCAGCCTAACTGATATCTCTAAAAATTCATGAAATATTGCTGGAATAATTTCAAGGAAATACTATTGCCAAAAATCTCGTTTTCAAATAGTGATAAAAAATAAGGCTGTGGAAAAAAAGGGGCAAAAAGGTGGAAGAGGGGAAAACTGCTGTATTTTCTTCAACGTCACCCTAATCTCCATTGGTGTAAACGATGAGAAACTTGTGGGTATGACGTCACTGCTACATGCAACATAAATAAAGAAAAGAACCAAAATACTGAACAAAAATACTCTCTGCTAGAAAGACAGGTTGGACCGCACTCTGGGCTACAGGGAACCCATTTTTACTCACAATAGATCACTATCAGTGTGAAGTTAAAATATAGTAGGGGCCGTGTTCCAAGGCAGCAAGAGGAAAAATAAATCAAAAGTTTGTCAATGATCATAGATTACAAGAAATTCCTTCAAACACATCAACGTACACTTGATATATGCTCCCTGTGGGGTTCAACACCCACCGATCACAGCAAGCACTGTCACTGGAAAAAATATATAGAGAATTAGACCATAACTGTTGCACAAAATGAAAGAAACAGGAAGAGTAGGTCATCCAGTTTAGAGGTTTCATCCCCAAGTGGCTGCATTTTATATAAATATATACATGTATTTGGCCCCTTGCTGCAAAAACCACAGTTAAATGGAATAGGAAAGATATGAAAACATTACAAAAAATATTAACAATCTGTGAATAAAATTTCCTCACAAGCACTTCTCTGGACAATGTGACATCAGCATTCATATGTTATTCAGAGAGTGGTATGGGTAATGAGAAATGGATGGCAGAGAAACTGCAAAAGGAAACAAGGTTACTTTAATTTTCCCTGGCCTTGTAAAAACGTACTGATCTACACTGCATTATTAATATTAGGCCTAACAGGTTTGGACAAATGGCTATGTAGGTCACACTCAGATTTAGACCCCAACAGTACCACAAGCTAATGTTCAAACAGTACCTAAATTGATGTGCAAGCTCAGTTGCATTATTAAAGGATGTGTTTTTCAAGTGTCGCAGGAAGCTGCATTAATTAATGCCACCATAATTAAGCTTTCTTTCACATTTACTTCACCTGAGTGTGTCAATATTTTTACATACAAACTTTCATTTCATCTCACACATTTTCCACATTCAGCTGCCTCTAATTGCTATGTTACTCACTAATTAAAATATATATTTATCATATAGGACTACATATACACACATATGACTATTTGCAGTGTCTCTGAAAATCAAACTCACATATTAGCTGTTGACATATCAGTTGACAGTTTCCTAATTCAATAGCAAAAGAGCTTCTCAATTTATGCTTTATTTTGGTTAGACTGCATTTTTAAGACCAATGATTTGTGTAGCTTTCAGAAGGATAACATAGTTAAGATTTTTCAAAAGTGATTAGTGATTTGAAAGCTAAAGCTAAGACATTTTATGTGAATAACAGACTACACAAAGACTTACCTTAACAACAAAACAAATAAAAAAAAATCAGTCCAATGAAAGGGATTTCAAGACTGTCATCAAAATTTGAGAAACAAAAATCACTAATTACTGTTGAAATTTTTCTCTTTTTTTTTTTTACAGAACTTTAAAAGCAAAGCAATTGTATTATTGCTAATACAATTATTATTATTAGTTGTGAGCATGCTTCTAAGTGGAAGCCTTTCTCGGGCGCACTGAGTGCTGCCAGCTATCATGGTTATCTGTGACCATGTGTGTATGTAGGATAGGAGAGGGGAGAATGCAGATGAGGGAGAGGGACAGGAGACAATGAAAGGGAAATTTGAGGTTTTACTCTTGCCACTTTTTTCTGTTTTTCACCTGACTCAGAGGATTCCCTTCTTAGTGCTCAGTGCTCACTGCAGCAGCTTTGAGAGCTGCCTCCTTCTTCTGCCTCACTAATTCCATCATTTTGTTTCTTATCTTTCCAACACCCTTTCAGTTTTCTGACTGATACATGTGACCATGCTGTTTGGAACATTTCCAAACCCAAAAGTTGTCACTCTCACCTCTCCATGGCCTTACTGCTGGTAATATATCCATTGTGTTCACTGAGTCACAGGATACTATTTTCTCCCTGGTTTCCTAGTACTCAGGAGGTTTCATTGATTGTCCTTAATGTACAGTAAAGGGCTCTTGCCTTTTATACTGTGAATTTCTGAATCCTATAACAGATTTCAATTAAAAGTGTAGATTTTGCATTAAAACCACAGATCTTTGGGAAACTTTTTTTATCTTTTTTTTTTTTTTTTTTTTAAGCAGCACATGTGAAAAGCATATACTATGTGAAGGAGGAGCTTGTTACCTGTATAAATGTATTGCTTTTTAATTGTTGGACAATTGGAAAAATAATTGGGTTTGAGAGTTTCAGGCACCCCAACGCATCTGTAACTGGCTCTACCAGAACTTACTCAGCAGCCTTATTGGCTTTGCAGCAGTTCAAAGGTCACATTCTCACATTGATAGGCTGTTCTTCAACAATTTTTTCCAATATATTAGGCAATGCATACATTCCTTCCACATCAGGCATGCTTTTCCATGTGCACTGCTCTCCTTGTGGCTTCTGGGAGAATAAATACCATTTTATGTCACTGGTTTAGCTGCTTTCTCTCAACTGTACTACTTTGATCCACACCCCAGTTTTTCTGGGTGAGAGGAATCTGTTTAAAACCTCCAGTGACGTATTTTTTTTTTTCCTTTTAATATAATCTTCAAGAATTCATCAATTTCAGGGATCCCTTAAAGGCAGGGAATGTCTGGTTTAGGTTTGCGGTACAGTGATAATACTATGACTGGATCTATAAATAAGAGATTTCTCTTCTAAAAGTAATGGTAAAATATACATGATCAAATTCTTCTGAGATCTTTCAATTTACCTGATCAGCACTTTTGAACTGAATGAGCTTTTTCATGGCAGAATACCATGGAATGCACATAAATACTCATAAATACTGAGAAATGGATCCCTACATCCTTTTGATATCAGCATTAGAAATACTCATAAGTCAAACACATCTTTGGACAAAACATGGTTGTGATAGTTCCTGCAAAAAGTCCTTTCAACTATAGATAGATAAAATGCTAATTTCTGTACATTTATAAATATACAGATGGGATGTCTGATCTCAATTCCAAAAACTCAATTATTTCTTCATGCAAACCTCACCAAACAATTAAAAAAGCTGTCCTAAGAAGTTAACCAAACAAAATATTAGCAGTATAACTATGGAATTTTTTAAAAGGATATATATAATAGGTTCGTATTTAGTTTTTTTCCAGACAATCCCTTCCTCCAGTAAAGTCAATCATTATTGTAATAATAGTTATTTCAATAGTTACATGATTGAATATTATTCTATAGCTTCTTTTACAGAATCATATTCAGCAAGACAAAGGTTCTGCACTAAATAGAAAACTACAGAAATTAACGGATTTCTGCCACTGGTAGAATGAGCACTGGTATGAATGAGAACAGAACTTCACTGCTACATCATTCTTAACTCAGAAACCTCCACAATCTAGCTTGATTTATTTCTTCAGGTTTTGTTAGCTTTGGACCCTAATGGACTTTTAAATGAAGAAACAGGTTAATGTTGCAAAATATTATAAAACTTTATGGACTTCAGAAATGCAAATGGAATTTACTATGTTGCTGTGCATTTACTTCTTAGCTTTTCTTTATCATGGTTTAAAACATGTAAAGAGAGATTCTTCAAAGCTGACCAGTTCATGAAAAGGAGAGGAAGGGAGTGATAGAAATATTACTTACGCCGTTTGCAGCCACATTTTTTTATCCTTTTGGGATCCGTGATGTCATCATGACAGGCCTTGCAATAAAAAAATGCCCTAGAGAGACAGAATAGAAATACTGACACATTTCTTAATCCATATAAATGAAATTAGTCCCACATTTCCTCTTGCTGCAGTGCCACATTAATGAAACATGCCAGCACTAATTTCCTTAATCTTTGAAAAGGTTTAGACATGTAAAGTAGGAAATGTTTGCTACAAGACCATTAATTTCAAGCATAAGACTCCAAATTAGTGTTTCTTTTAATATACCTCTATTTGAAAAGTAACTCGGAGTAGAGATTATAATTATGACACAGTGTATCAGTTCATTTGTCTTTCATCTTAGAAAAAAGAGCAACCAATGAATTTTGTCACTAACATATAAATATATATATATATATTGAATGAATATACCAAAATAGGTATACCAGAATTTTTTCTTTTTTTAAAGACTGTCTAGCACCCTGGGCCAATTGTTCAGCCTGGTGACAAGTAGAATTTCATTTTGGATACAAGAAGAGATTGCAACAATATCAATGTGACAGTAACATCAGGTATGCAATTAAAAAAAAAAAAGAAAAAAAAGAAAAAAGAAGAAAAGGCCAAACAAAACCATAAAGGGACAATCTACTCAAAACAAGTTCATAAAGCAACATCTAAATGGAACTGCAATAAACTTGATTCAAGCTGTTTTTTCATCCTTCATATCTGAATACAACACAGAACCATTTAAATTCTGAACAAAAGCCAAAATTTCAAACAAAAATATACAAGGTAAACCACCTAGGCTTCTATTTCTTATTTTTGCTTATAAACTTCTAATCTTTTATCAAATGTCTCACCACTAGATGAAGCAGAAGGAGAAATAAGGGAGTGAGAAAGGGTAAACATTTGACTGTATATAAAACAAAATTCCAAAATAATAAATGTGCATCAGACTGCCCACAGGAGAGTTTAATCACGCCTGCAAAGTCAACATGTCATGTAAAGCTGCTGTGACACACTTCATGAGGATCACACAGCTGGCCTCCAGCTGGACAGTTACAGTTTACCAGGACTACTGGCATAACAAATTAAACATACTTTTTGACCTGCTGAAAATTTCCCTCTACTTATTCGTATTCAGGTTATGTTAGCTCCATGACTATCTTCCCAACCCCTTCTTACTGGCAGGAACTGCTTCTCAATAAAAACTGTCAGTAAGAACCAACCACTGCAACCACCCATGAATATTGCTGACAGTACTGGATGATTAGATTGCTACAGCAGTAGGCAGGTCACTGGAAGAGAACAATCTACAGTCCAAAATATAAAAAGAAAAATAAAGAATATTAATACACATCCTCTGAATAAACACAGCATTTGGCAGTCCAGTTAGGACAACTACCAATTCTTTTCAGATTAATAAGACAGCGTTCGCCACAGATGTAATTTTATTAAAGGAAATCTTCAGATGTGTGAACTAGATACCTAATTCAAATAGTTACAAATTTATTCAAGTTATTTGACACTTCTGAGTAATGGCCCTGGTAGTTAAGTGGCCCATCAGGAGAAAGGCAGCAGGGCTAGCATATGAGATACGGACCAGAAAATACAAAGTTAAATTTGCAATAAGACCTGATTGAATGTCATTTCTAAAATCAAGACGGAATGCAAGCTACTGATGGAAGACTTAGGTCCTAAATGTAGCAGACATAATTTTCTAAGAAATTTCCAAAAACATTAATCTTTCAGACTGTGAAAATGTCTTAGGATTTCCAATAAACAAAATGTAAAATTAAAAAGCCTTTTCTGAGCATTTATATACTTTGCTGCAGAAAGTTTCTGGTCTTTACTTTTCTCCTTCCTAGTAGCTGATGCAGTGCTGTGTTTTGATTTTAGTCTGGGAACAATGCTGATAATATACCAATGTTTTAGCTGTTGCTAAGTAATGCTTACTCTCACCAAGGACTTTTCAGTCTCATGCTCTGCCAGTGAGGAGGGGCACAAGAAGCTGGGAGGAAGCAAAGGCAGGACACCTGACCTGAACTAGCCAAAGGGGTATTCCATAGCTTAGCACGTTATGCCCAGTATATAAACTGGGGTGAGTTACCCAGAGGGGCCAGATCGCTGCTCAGGTAGGGCTGGTTACCAGTCGGTGGGTGGTGAGCAATTGTACTCTACATCAGCTTGTGTTTATTGGGGTTTTTTTCCTCTCCCCTTTTTAGTTTCTTATTCTCTCCTCTTGTTATTTCCCTTATCATTATTATTATTACTAGTAGTGGTAGTTTTGTACTATGCTTTAGTTATTGGACTGCTTTTACCTCAACCCATGGGGTTTGCATTCTTTCAATTCTCCTCCCCACCCTGCCTGGAGCAGGGGAGCAGAAGGGAAGGGGGTGAGCAAGCGGCTGTCTGGTTCTGAGTTACTGGCTGGGCTTAAACCAGGACAGCCTTCTAAAAGTTCACCTTCCACCAAAAAGGAAAAAAAAAACCATCTCCAAGGAAATGAGAACAAAATATTTTTCAAACCATGAGTTGATGTCACAACGTAAACAAGGAGGAGAAAACTGCCTCCAAGTTTTACAATTTCTCCCCAGTCCAACTGTGTTGAACAATAACCCACTATCACAAATATTCCTTCAGAACACCGCGACACAAACTGATGGCTTGGCTTCACGAGTGAAGATTTGGGAAGGGCTTTAACCACGCTTACTACAAGCATGATGACCAAGGGCAGGTGCATATACAAATCTGGGAAAAAGGGTGCTGAGGCAATCAGGAAGTGTTTGATCACGACACAACTCCTGAGCTAACTCGAGCTGCCCATGCGCTGGTCCACTCACATGCAGCGTTGGATCTTGGAGCTTCCCATGCACCTTGTCACATACCGTTTTGACCCTCGCTTGTCCATACAGACAAGTGAGAGTAAGCCCTTCCAGCCTGCACAGTGGATTTTTTAGGTGAAGCGTAGCTTGCACAGAACTGGCCCCACCCTTTAAACCTGAGGTTTAACTAACACGGCCTACTTAGCTAGGACAGTGACAGCAAAGTCCACAGGTCGTAGGTTTTGTGAGAGTGTCCTTCTCTTTGATGGAAGACCATACAAGGCTAGATGAGCTCCATCAGGTTATCTCTACAGATCACATTTCTGAAGTCTACCGCAGAACAAATGCCTTAAGGAGTACGGTTCATCTCTTATACAAAGTCAACAGCAAACACCTACAAGTGACTGCTGTAATAAAATGATCCTTCAATATAATTGTGTTTAATATGTGGATTTGGAGCATATGAATTTCTGATGTTAGTACTAACATGTAAATTAATAAACATTCATAAATTTGCATTATATTTTAACACTACATTTTACACGAAGCTATTTAGCTAGACATAATTGTTTCTAGGTATAATTGTTTCTAATGTGAAATTACTGTTCTAAAAATGTGAAAGTAATTCTAGCAGGAAGACTAATTGAACATTGCATGTTATATTTCATTGTGGAATATGTATTTGATAAATAGTTTAAGCTTAAAGGAGCTGAAATTTCTCTATTAGTATGTAACAAAAAAAAAAAAAAAAAACAGAAAAAAATGTTTTAAATTTCTGGTACATAACATGTTTAATTGGCTTTATTTCCACAAACACCCCTCCCCATCCAAAAGACCTCAACTTCAGAACATTTTTTTGACTCTGATTCATAGCTCAAGAGGGTGATATCAACATTTTTCATACTGGTTTTGTTAGCTGAAACACATCTGATAATCATTTGTTTTGCACAGAACATCTAAGAAATGTGTTAAGGGAGGCAACAAGTTTCTAAATGAAGCCTTCTGCAAAAAGCAGAGGAGAACTGGGAATTTTGTTTCAGCTTGATATTAGATAAAACATGCCAGATCAGTGATGTATAAAATTTCTCCAAACATATTAACTGGCTTTGAGCAACCTGGTCTAGAGGAAGGTGTCCCTGCCTATGGCAGGGGGGGTGGAACTGAATAATCTTTACGTTCCCTTCCAACACAAACCATCCTACTGAATTCTTGATTCTATGAGCTTCTCCCTGTTAAAAATGCTATGCTGGGTAATTTTTACTTACAGTCTGAAATAATTTCATAGAAAGTGTAAAATGCCTTAGAAATGGGAAAAAAAAAATAAAAATGATAGCATCTCAGTAAAGGACTTTGAAGACAGCTCTCTCTATTCAACCGAAGAAAAGCACTGGAGAGGAAAAGAGCTATGTGCTGAAAGGCATCATACCTGAGGCAATGCTGGTTGCAAATACTCCAAAGATGGAGTAGAAAATGGAAAATACTCCAAAAAATTACAAATACTCCAAAGATGGAATAGAAATAAGAGAGGACAGGAGCACTCTTGTGCTTTCCTGTATGTTTCACCTACCCCAAAATTATCTTAGCTCTTGCAATAAAAATAGAAGTCAAGTTCTCAGCAATTTCACTGTTTTGCTGTTTTGAATTTCTTCAAGTATTAATGGAAAATATGCATTGCTTAAATATTATTTTCACTGCAATTTAAATATAAAAATCTTAGGACTTTGTAGAGGTTATCATCTGAATATTTTATCATGCTAAGTAAAGGATTTAGTCAAAATATCAAGCTCTAGAAGAACAAGTAAAACTCAGATTCTTGATATCATAACATACAACAAAATTAGAAATTATGAGGAAGCACTCAGCTGCAAGTATTGCCTTTTCTTAATCTTACATACATTGAATAATTATTTATTTTTAAAATTATTTTCCCACATTGTTCTTTTATTCCTTTCTATCGTATTATAATTCTAATAAACAAGAGTAAACACATTTGGTCCTAAATAGAACAGCATAACCCTCCCTTTCATTCAACCCAAATCTAATGCAGCCAAGCACAATTAACCTCTGAAGTTGTCTACAGTGGTTGAGATATACTGCATGGTTGTAGTTTGATTCATTATTATGGTTTATTGTTACAGAATATGTAGTTCCAGTAAAGAAAAAAATTACAAAAGCATAAATATTATTCTACTAATGAAGTTATGGAATGAGTAGTTTGCTCAGATCAAATATTTGCTTAAGTCTATGTAAATAAAAAGTACTCTAAACCTGAAACTTGGACAAAACTGTAACCCCTGTCCTCTCTGAAAGTAATTCAACTGAGACTAATTAATTATAGAGAAGTCAGATCAAAATATTTTCTAGAGAGACTCAGAAAAAAAAAAGAAGCTTCTTCATTTCTTTTCATATCTGCTGCAAAGTTATTTAGTTTCCTTGATATTTAGAGCTGTAGTTAAGAAAATGGGTGGCACACATGGCTGCTTCACTACAGTAGCAACTCAGTTCCCCAAGAATCTTTAAACAGATACTAATGAAAATTAGGTGTTTACATGCAAAGAAACAAAACCAGAAATTAAATACTAGATGTTTAAATTTAAAAATTAAAATATATTAATTACCTTTTTACTTCTTTGGCATCACTTGCAATGAAGAATCCTAAAGTACCTTCTTGAATCTTGACGTGGTTTCCAGGATTGATTAATATACTGCTCAGTGAAACAAAAACAAAAACAACAAAGCCATAAATTTAAATGACTTTCAACTGAATATTCCAAAATACCTTTATTTATAGGGGACCCACTAGATAGGAAAGGCTGCAAGGAAATTTTAAGCCATTCTTCCTTGAAATTTCCAATCAAATAACAGTTGTACATGCTTTTTACAAAAACTTAAGCTTGAGACAGTCACGTCTTCACCTATTATCACGTCATTTAGCTGTGTACATATGTTTTCTTATGTTTTTGCTTTAAATATAGACTATACAAAATAACAAAGCCTCTCAGAAACATGATGTGTGAAGCTGAGCATTTCAGCTTTCTTGCTCTGTCATGCAAAGTGGTGAGAAATTCACATTATGGTGAAAAGAGAAGAACCAGCAACCACCACTCAATAACAATACAAAATATCATTTATCAAGGTAAACCCTTTGATGTAAACTTTTGCCAATTTCTAGTGAAGAAGAATGTTAATGGGACCCCTATATGGACATAAAATGTTATTGTTTAAAATAATAAATACACACATACACTCAAGGGGAATGGTACAAGACAACCAGTCATGACAGCTGAAAAAACATAAAATGAGTAGAAAACTTTTAAATCAGCAATGGAGGAACAAAATAACCCAACCACACTGACAGAACAGCCTCAGCTATATTAAAGGATTGAAATTATAAACTGCTTCCAAGAAATGAGGTACTGCATGCCTCTCTACGAATATCTTTTTTATTTTCATAACAGTTTAACACTAGATTTTAGGTAAGGTACTTTGCAAAGTACCAGGCTAAATATGAATATACAGGTACAGATGTAAATATATTCTCTGATAATTTTCATTTACAACGATTAATATTCATTACAACAATTTAGACAACTAAGTTTTTGACTTGCTAAAATTTAAAGCTTGCTAAAATTTCTCTCTCCTTTGCCTTTTATTAAGGCTTAGCCTTTGTAAGTCAAAATGACAAACATGCAATTTACAATAAATAAAGCCTAATAGCAATTTAAACACTTGCAGATTTAGCAAAAATTGATTTTGTGGAAGCACAAATATATAAAAATAAATAAAAATAAATACAACACATTTCTGAAGAGATACACATTATTAAAATGTGAAGGCAAAAAACCCTATAATATTACTGTTAGGAGAGAAAATGGGTCTCAGCAGATCTCTCATTCAAGATGCTATTTATTATCCATACATAATAAATTAGTGTGACAAAAAATATACCTGACAGCTTTATAATAAGCGAATTGTTTTGTGTGATTATATATGCTCACAGGGCCCTATGAAAAGAATATGCAGGCTGCAAAATAAAATGCTCTTGGGTTAAGAATTTAAAGGTTGGTCATTGCAGACATAATTCATTATATAGACTTTATAATACAATTCTTAATCTAATAGCCACAAACTACTTTTTCTCACAGTCTGGAACTTCATTCAGTGGTGTTTTAATGCCATTACTCCAGGCATGGCTTCATGCAGCTCGTCTTTCGTTAAAATCAGCATCATATTTTTCTTATGTATTTTTCTGCAGTGTTCATCACTATAGCATGTGAAAGATTCACAAATACATTATTTTACAGAAAGACTGAAGATATAGTATTAGCCCATTTTACAGATGAGAGATTAAGTCACTATGAGATATAGTAGCTATTACTTTGGGATGCCTACAGGCGACTTTTTGCAAGTATTTAGCATTACACCTCTCCATATACATCTTCTAGGGACTTTTGTGTTAAGTAAGAATGCTCAGCCTTTCCAAAAACCCAGCCTCTGGTTCCCAAAATAATAAACACTCAATCACAGGTCACCTGTGAAAGGTTTGGATTAAATTATTAGCTCATTCTCACAGAGGTATTCTGTGGCAGAGGCTGGAACAAAAAGAAAGCATTTACCCAGACATCCTTCCTTTTTCCTTCATTCACAGTTTCAAGCTTTGCAACAAAAAGGAGAGGGATCTACAGAAAACGGAAGTCATCACCACAGAAAGCAGGTTCATCTAAACAGCTCACTTAAGTAGTATTGCAAAACTGAAATGTGATGATGTAAATAACACCTACATTATGCACGCAGATACATGGGATGAATGAAAGTTGCACAGCTAAACTTCACATCTGACATTTCTTTTCTTAGTCTATTGGGCTTAATAGTTGCACTTGAAACCAAAGCATTTACCTAATGCACTTTTAAAATGTGTTTTCACAGTTTTAAAATGAAACAAAACAGGAAAAAAAGCAACCAACCAAGAGAAAAAAAAAAACTCACAAGAATTTCCTCATATGAAACCAATCATTCAAGTCACAAGCAGGTTGAAAAATTCAGATTCCCTGCACAAACTTTTGTCACTTGAGTGAACACAGCACTTACTAGCTGTTGCAGAGATACCTTATCATCACTAAGGGAGATGAGACATACACTCTACCAGTATACTCAGAGAAAACAGTTGAGAATGACCCATCTTACACCTGCCAGCCTATGTAAGCCTAGATAAGTCACTTCTCAAGAACCAGGAGAGAATCCTTCTGTCACTAACTCTCCAAAGTCTTTCTGCCAAACCTGTCTATCATGTCTGTAACTTCATCCATGTTTCAGTCTCCATTTTTCCCTTTCACTGTCTGCTAGTCCTTAGTCTGCCATTATGCTCAGAATTTAGCTGTTAAACTTCTACAGATGCTAGTCTCATTTCTACTATGCCATTCCTTCTAAAATATCCAAAGACTTGTAATATGGTTAGGGTTGGATATTTTTCTTAGGTACAAATGGGTAGTGCTGTCAGATAAATACGTTCTTTGCCCTTATTTTGCCCTTTGCTCTTAATCACAGAAGTATTACAACTTTTCAGTATAAACAGATGAACAGATTTCTTCACACTGACTCGCCTCTTTTTTCCCCCTCATCCCATTCTTGGAGATAGATAAACCAGACCAAAACAGTAACAAAATACTACCTAAAGCTCAACAACCCAAACTTCACAAGCTGAGGTAACCACTAGATATGCAAAAGTTCACCACCTCCTCAAATTTAAAATCTGACAGAATAATGAGCAAATTAAGCAGTTCTTTTAAGAGGCAGTAAACACAATCCTAAATCAGGAGTAACTGGCTCCATTTAGGATGTACTGTATTGTGACAACTATTTTGTATCTCAGGGTTTTCTGAGACACGTTAAATCAATTCAGATGGGTCAGTGAATAGACTTTATTTTTGTCATATTTAATACTTCATTCACATATACTTATTTTCACAAATACAATGTGGTGATAGCCACAAAATATAGATGTCATGGAAGCTAATGCAGTACAAGCCTAGCAGAAGTCTTCTTTTGGGAGTAAAAACAAATTTGCCCCATCACTGCTACTGGCAAAGAACTACAGCAAAAGCTCATAAAGCTTTAGGTTTACACACTGATATTTAACCAGAGAAAAATCATGAGCAATTTCTATGGGGTCTATATGGATTTATTAAATATGCTGCTTATTAAAGCAGCAATTGAATTATTTCTTATGAGACATGTAGAGTCATTAGCTAAAGTTATGCTTTGGTAAGCACTCACTCGAATATGTACAGCAAGGGAAATGTTTTGAATTAAAAGAATAGAATATAGAGAACAAAGAGGACAGAGAAAAATATATCAGCCTTATGAGCATTCCAAGAATAATGCATCCATCAGATACTGAGAATGCATACATCTGTTTAAGCAGCTCATGAAAATATTCAAATATATCCCCACAGTTGAGACAATAAGTACATGGCAAAGTAAACTGGAGTTTTGAGTGAGAAAGTTTCAGCTAATGTCTCATTTTTTATGTATCTCCAAGGCTTGGGAATTTTGCAGATAAAGGAAGAAAGACAGAAATGCTTTATATTTAATATTAATCTATATAGCTAATCCATATGAATTTTGTGCCATGGGAAAATACTGTTGAATATTACACCCCTGATTTTTTTAAGTATTTTTTTTATCATAAAGCATAATATTTTTTCTTTTTAATCTCCTAATTTAGCTCATGAAATTAAGCAAAGAATGCCAAATATTTTTAAAGTTTCTAAGGTTTTGAGCAAATTTTATAACATTTCTAGTTTAAGGTTACCTCAGAAACTGATCAGCTAATAGTAAGCCAAAAAAACTTTTTCTTATAATTTCCTTAAAAATTCCAGCTCCAGAAATATGCTCCTCAGGACAAAGCTTTTCATGACAAGTGTCACATTTCAAGATTATCTTGCTTGCATGTTCACTCCTTCAAGCATGAACAGCTAGAACACATAGCAATTAAAGCCATCTAATTTGAATATGTGTAAATTGAATATGATTGAATGTGTTTACTAGGAATTTAATGTACTTTGCCAGCATAAACTTAGAAGTCAGTTCCAATACTCTATGATAATACAACAACTTCTAAGCCAGCTGTGGAACAGAAAGCAGTATGGAAACCTCCGCTTTACAGTTACCTGAAGACTAGCAAAAGTTAGTTCATTTGTTCAACAAGATCACACATCTAAGAGCAATGAAAATGTCACGCAGCAAAAATGTGAAAATCACCCTTGATTTGAATTGTACTCTCAGGAATCACAGAATGAATTGCAGAATGGTTTGGGTTGGAAGGGGCCTTTAAAGATTGTCTAGTTTCAAATGCCCTATCATGATAGGGGATATTTTTCAATAGAACAGATTGCTCAAAGCCCCTTCCAAACTGACACTGAACACTTAAAAGCTCTGGAAAGAATTAGAAAGAACAGCATCTATACAGTTGAAACTGAGTTTCCAGACTGACTGAAATATAAGCAGAAGAAGCACAAATGGGATTTAGTACACATTTGAGAATTTTTTAAGTAAATGAAAAATCCAAATGTGGTTAGAAAAACTGTAGACAAATGCTTATGGATCTTTTTAAATAGATTATTCAACTAAAAGTTAAGATAGGACATAATGACTTTTTCATATCTCAGTGGACAATAGATATCTCTGACAGTGTGTTAATTTTGATCAATTTGCTTACTTGTTCAATTATATCTTTCTGATGTTTTAAGTATATATACTACCTTCAGTAAAGCACAGATATATGTAACTATCTGTTCATCCATTCATATTTACCTGAAACTACCCCTGAACATGAGCATTGCTCAATACCTTTTTGGTAGTGCATGGATGGTTGGCTGCACAATACAACAATATTGTGACCTAGATAAAGGATACCATATTACATCTTCCCCATAAGCATTAAGTGAGCTAAACTTTCGATTACTAGTTGCAGGTCTTCCATGTTTTGCTGCACTTCAAGATATTTGATGGAGGACCTGTTAGTTGGAGGTTTGAACTGCAGGACAATCTGTGGACTGACACTTTGGGGCAGGACTATTCCCTCCAACTAATTTTTTGTACTCATTTCTGCTGTTGGGTAACTTTTATTTGCCTCCCAATTCCAAGCATCATACATGTTGGACTCCAACAGTATTTCATGGGTTGAAACAGCATTAGAATGTTTGACGGCTGCTGTATTTTCATGTTATTAGAATATATAAAACATTGTTTCTAATAAGTTTTCAGTGTACAAAAATTTCAGTAGGAGATGAAAAAAAAATTCCTGTAGCTTTCAACAGTATTCAACTATCTTCTATCTGAAATACATGGAGAAACAACCTATCAGACTTAGTCTGAACTACCATGACACTGTACGTATTTACTGCTAGCCCACTTGCTAAGTAACATGTCTACACAATTTGCTTTCCACAGCTTGCAACTGAGCAGGTTTCCATTACTAGTGAAGTTGTAAATGGACATAACTTTGAACTCTTAATCTAGACATAGCATTTATACAGTACGTGACTCTCAGATTTGTATAACTGTCTGTATTCTCTGGAAAAAAAATGAGGGATGTTATTAATATGGAAGGCTGCTTAAAGGTCTTAAAACTGTGCTGACAAAGGCGTGTGGAAATGTTTAGCAAGTACAGCACAGACAATAGGCAATGATAACATTTTAATAGCACTATGTCAAAACTAAAAACTGGAAGATACAGAGAATTCATTTAAGAATTTTCCTTGTCAGCAGCCTCAGTTATGTACTATTCTCATTTGTTCGCACTTTCAAGGTTACATTTTAGACAGCAGTAAAGGTGGGATTCATCTCATCTGACTTAGAATGGAAGCTGCTTTCAAAAACTGTCTCTCTCTTCCCTTGCAGTCATGCACTAAGTCTGGATACTGAAAAGAGACTAGACTTCTAACATTTAGATGGATAAATCTAGGTAATATGAATCCCATTATCAGTGAGCAATTGAACAGTTCATCCCTGCATAAGGAAACTTGCATGATTCAGTAACACTCCCTTTTTCTTTTATTTATATTTCCTTTCAGATTTATGGCTACCCTTACAACTGCCATCATCCTTGTCTAAACAAAATAAAAGATCACTTGTTGAATCAAATGAATAAAAACCAGCAAAATTTTGACTAAAGAAATTACAAAAGCCGTAACTCCATTTTAAACCTTGCGGTAGATGTACTGTACCATTCCCCGTGTGACTGAAACAGTAGCAATATCATCTAGTAATCAGGAAGATATAATATTGTTTAAGTACTACTAATACATTATCTAAATAAGACTGTGTGGTATTACTAACATAGCTACCACATTTTTAAATAAACCCAGTTATTATACTTGATTGTTTCATGCCATGCCCAGATGAAATCCACCACTATTAGCATAACAGCCTTTTAAAATGTATCATGTCATTTACACAACTATAGAATTAGAACTACAAAAATAGTTTGAGACAATATTTTTTGTTTCAGGGTATGTTTTGACGTGGAGTGTGATGGTAGGTGCACAATCCCACAGTGGGAATTGCGTGCGTACCAGCTTCACACTGAATATAAGTCATAAGTATTGCTTATTTCTTCTGGGCTCAATCACTGACATTAATTCAGATCCATATTGCTCTACACAGAAAAATCCAGTAAGACACTAAAAAGAATACAAGGCAAAAGACACAGTGCACATTACATGCTACAGTATTTTAAAGCTTAATTACTATAAGCATATAAAAGGTTGCTCCCAGGAGTTCTTTACAATAGAAACTACTAAGGCATGGTCTACAGGATATGCATGAGGTATTTTATTGGGGCATAGTCCAAACTAGTTCAACGATGATGATAAATTCAACACAAATTATTTGTTCTGGTTCCAGAAGTGATAGATTATCAGTACAATGAAGGAGCACAATATACTTTATTCTGGGAGCAAGCAACTTCACTTGGTACAACACTTCTTCAAGTTGCTCATCATGCCAGCAGTAACATGCCTTCACCACAAGATAATATATACTTAAAGCAAGAAGCGAAGTAGAGGTGCAACAACTGCATATCCTTGAAGATGCTAAGTGTTGCAGTAACTTCTCTGCAGTTGGATCATCTCAATAATGCCAAACTGACAGGAAGCCACCTCTCTTTTCACACATCTACTCAGAAACCACAGGAGAATAAGACTAAAAATTAAATAAATATAACACATACAACACACTCAACAGAATAGACATGGAAATTAAAGTTTGGGGAGTATAATGAAGAAGGAAATTGAAATGTCTGGACAATGAAAATAGTCAGACAGTCTTCTGTAAGTCAAACAGACTTCTATAAGCAGGTAGAAAAACAAAGCTGGGAGTGATAAGAGAATTGAGGAGAGAAGAGGATATGGAAGAGCATGCCTTATTTACTTCATCCAAACCAATGGCAGCAAGATAGAATGTAGACTAAGGAGTGACTCACAGCATGGTATACTAAAACAAAATGCAAAACATGCCCTCCCAAATTAAAACCAAAACTGAGAAACAAATACACTCAGTAACATCTTCATAAATGAGCTTAATAAATGTCATCAAAATGTACATGTCACATATTAGAGACCATCCACGGCACTTTCTCTGGAACGGTACAATAGCTTTAATGAGTACTGTGTTATGAGTAACAGGGCTCAAAACAGGACCAGTGATGCAAAGAATCAGGTATTTGTTGCTAATGGAAGGTGAGACAAGAAAACATTAACTACTGTATTGTAAGACATGTTTTGAAGGAAGACTCTGGGAAAAGAAGGACATCAATGAAGGTATGAATATGGAGACAATATGGCAGCACAAGGGCTGGTAAAGACGAAATACACATCGTCACGATAACAGTACAAATGAGAAAAGAGACAAGGAGATGTTAACAGTGAAGTCTGCTTTTAAAATGCAACAATCTGATATATCAATGACTCCACAAAAAGGAGAAGATAAAAAAAAAAAAAAAAGCCTACAAAACTACTGTTTTATTTTGTACTTCCTGCAAAGAAGTTAGTGCGTGAGTCACAAGAACCAATGGAGAGACAAAACGCTATTTTCTCTCCTCTTTGAGATTGGGGGCTCATATATAAATATACACACAGATATACATATATATACACACACACATAGACAGATGAATATATATCTATATGCATATATGTGTGTGTATATACAGAGAAAGATAGACAAAGATGTTATCTTCCTGTGTTCTTGGCAAGGAATTAGTCCTGAAGTTAGAAGGAGTGGAGGTAGGATTGAGGTTGGAAGGAAAGGTAACGAAGAGGGCATACCGCTTTCGGCTTCTGCAAACGACAAGAAAAGAATTGCAAATCAAACACTTCGATAAGAAATCAACTGACACCAAAGCAAAAGCAAAAAAACCCCTTTATTTACAAGTCTTCAAGGCTCAAAGGTTTTTCTGCTGAGAATGAGAACAAATATATGGATAGACAAAGAGCAAATTTAACAAGAGGAGTAAACATGGGGTGCAGGAGGGAAGAACCCTGGTTAGGCTTTCCTTTTTGTTTACTCATGTGGAGGAAAAAAAATAAAGGGGAAAAGGGAAGGCAAAACCATTTCTAAAAGGAATTTCAGATAAAGATTTTGAATATCCACATTTCAAACTGATATATTTTGCTATCTGTTTAGTAAGCTTTGCTGGGACATTTTCAGGTTGATGTTCTCCATGTTCCTTTAGTAATTTTTTCTACATAACAAAAAACACTCTACAAATGAACCAAGAAAGACCACTTTTTTAAGCTAAGTAATCTCAGACAAACAAAAATGTATTTAAGAAGTGCTTTCTGCTCTTAATAACTGCTTATAATATTCCCAAATACTAACTAGATATCAAGGAATGGCTAACTCACACTGTGATCTGGAAGTGCAAACCTCTATAGCCCGTCAGAAACCCATTAAATTCAGTAGTTTTCTAAACTCAAAGGTTTCTTTGATAAGTGAGCAGTAATTTAACCATTATTAAATATACAAATGTAAAGGCAGTAGAAACCTAATCATGACTATTTTAATTAATCTTTAAGATAACCTGATGAGTAAGAGTTGCCTAAAAAGATAAGCATACTGTAGGTACTTCATTGATTATTTGAAAATGAGTTTGTATTTATCATATCTACATTACTTATATTTAGGTTTGAAAATGTTTAAATTCTGCTTTTAAGCAATCTGGTAAAACCATAAATTCTTTATAATTACTGATCTAATACTGTGTTAAGTTGTTATCAAGGTGTGCTTACTGTTTTATGTAGTTTTATTAGGAGTCAGGAAGAAAAGAAGAAAACCCAGCTGCAAGCAGGAAACTCAGCTACTGCTAACTTACACATTAATATTAGCTTGGGTAGCAGTCTGATGATATATAACTACTATTAAGCTCAAATTCCCTATGGTATTTTTAACAGCAATTGGCTGAAAATCAGAAGGCTTTAGAAAACTGGCATGTGGGAGACTGCCTGGGTTAAAAAAAAAAAAAATAAAAAAGAAAAGAAAAAAGGTGCACAGGTAAATGAGTATTTATGCTATTTTACATGTAATGAAGACATTAACAAAGTCAATTAAAAGTCTGCCATTGACTAAAATGGCATTAGTATTTATCCTTAACACTGAGATGAAAATTTGAAGAGGGGATTAGGAAACCTACAATGCCCACACAATACTATTTTTGAGAGTTGCACACAGTCCTGAATTCAATTTGTGCTGCTTTAGGTCTGAGTGCAAAGTGATGAAGGAAGATGAAGTTAAACTTAAAAGGCAACTCCTTGTGCAAGTGAAAAAATTCAGTTACATAATTTACTTATATAGATATTCCGACTAGTAGCAAAAATTAAACTGGTGGGAGTAAGATCTTCTTATCCCTTAGGCAAAAACAATGCTTTGAAAATTTCCTCTGCTCCTGAAAATACTGGCCCTAGACCTGTCTCAGCTATTGCAGGAAATACTAGCTTTTAATAAATGGGTCCCACCTAGATAATATTCTAAATTTGTATTTATATATATATCATTGTTGCTCTAAATTGTAAACAACGTAAAACCTCCAAAAAGTTTTACAAAATATGGATCTAAGCTATAATAAAATAAATTAGCATATACCTACTGTTGGTCACACTCACAGCATGAAAGCTAAAAGGGTACTATAATCAGTTTTCCCTTCAGCTTTATGATTAATTACCAATGAAGAACTTAAAATATGAAATAGAATAAAATATTTCCAAAGTCAATCTCAATAAACATAATTGGCAAATGACATATTTATCTTTTTCGAAGACAGCTTGCACCTGTATACCATACTATTCCAAATTTTATCTTAGTTCACCATCTTCTAATTTAATAAAGTGGATGGAAATGTGAGCATACCTAAGAAGTGAGAAACTGAAGTTTTGTTTCATTACCTCTCTATTTAGACTAAAAGGCTCCACCTCAGAAAACCACAAGTATGTAATTAAGATATTTGGACTGAAGAGGACAGTAACAGGTAGAACAGCAAAGGTATGCTACAAGTAGCTCAGTGATACACCAGTGATTGTAAAATTATCACCAGTTAATAAAGCCAGAAGAAATTACTGTGGATCAGGCTTATAAAAAATATGAGTATCTAGCTTACATGTTCTCCTCTTGTTACATTGTATTCACAAATCCAGCTGTTATCATCCCTTTTTTAGTATTGTTTTCTGCAATTCTTAGGCTCTTTTTTTTTCTACCAATTCATCAGTTGTGAACTGTTACCTGCATAGCTTTAAGTAAGAAGTAAGATAAGATTGTATCACATTGTGTTACTTTTTGTGGGGTCCTCTGCATCACCTTGTGATTAAGAACTCAATCCAACTTCCACTGAAGTTAGTGCAAAGAATGATATGGAAGCCATGAATTATCTGTTATTACTGAAAAAGACTGTAATATTAGCGCTTATGCAAGAAAATTACAATTGAAGTAATGAAAACCTAAAGTTGGGCAATACTTCTGAGAAGAAAATAGAAACCAAATATTTTCTAATATTGGAAATACAAAATCTGACAAATAGCTCAACTGTTGTCACTATTCTATTTTAATTTTCTAGGAAAGTATTAAACTGTTCAGAGACGAATAAATAATTTGCTTTACATTAGCTAATGTGGAGTGAGATCATTAAATGGTAAAGTGTTTTAAGAGTGCCTGAGAGCTGGAAACATAAAAAAAAAAAAAATCCTGATATTAAAAAAAAGAGAAAGATTTCTTATCAGCATACTGTGGACAAAAATAATATGCAATAGCACATATACCACTTCACATATCACTTTAACATAGGAAAGAATCAAGCAAAATCAATGATAAGGTGTGGAAATACACTTGTAAGTAGTTGTAACATGGTATTGCATTGCAATGCATGTCCCACATTGGTTTTATAGATATTTTTAATAAAGAAAAAATATAACATTTAATAATAAACATTAAAATGAACTTTCAAAACCTCAGAAATTTTGGCATGAGCTCAAATGACAGAATTGGTTCTCCTATGATGGGAAACAATTGTGAGAAACAAGTTCTAGGCAATTTCTGGCCAAAAATAAGATGAACTAATATGTACAGTTCCAGACTTACTAGAGTAGTACAGAATATATTTTTTGACAGAAAAAAAATAAAATTCAGTTAAGAGACAGCATTATCACATTTTTATTATTTGTCCCTCTATATTTTGCAGACCAAACTTATAACTTTTTTTTAAATACAAAAATCAATGTTGTGTAAAGCACCAATGCACAAGCTGACAGAAGACTGGCTCCAGTGTTCACCTGGATTTTTATGCATCTTTATATAAAAAACCTGCAAGAAATACTTATTTTCTTTTTTTTGTCTGTGAATCAGTACTAATAATAATGATATTTTTCTATTTGGTTGAGGAAAGGGGTCAGCAAGTTGCTAATTTCAAGCTAATTTAATCTTTTCTGGTTTCATGATGTGATTAAAATATGCACATTTTTGTCAAAACATACCATATAAATGCTGTTTATCTGATGTGCCTTTTTATCTTGTATCCTATCTAAATTGATTCTTCCAAACTCATTTCAATGAAATTATTAATTTGAGAATACACATAGTCATAACAAGTTTTGATCTCACATCTATTTACCACTTTTTGATTTTCAGCAAAATAAATGATTGGACCTCCAATTAAAACTGATGCACTATGAACAAAAACATTGCAGATTTTGTTTAAGTAAAAATGAATTGCACTTCTAGAGATGGCACTATCACAGTTTGCCCACCTTCTACTGAATGTTCTGATTTCAATTAAATTTAGACAAGAGGAATAGGGAAGAAATAAAAGCTTTTCAGTGCTATGTGAAATGGTATAACATGATGGCATGCTAATTATACTCTAAAATGTTTCAAAGGAATAAGTATAGTCATGTAAATTTTGAAAAAAAAGCAGGCACAATTCTTGACAGTGCATTCCAGAAACATTTGTAGGCATTTGACATACCTGCTTTCTCGTTTTTCCGACTTATATTCTATGGCTATCATTAACAGCTTTAGTTTCGCAAACACCAGTCTGCAGGAAAAGAAGCAGCCAAAAGTCAGTCCTTTTTCACAACAAACATCACATATGTAAAGATCAATGCAGGATACATATTTTCTCTGAGAACTTACACTACAACATTTTCCATTTTTTTCAGTTAGGTATACACAGAACATATATTAAGGTCTTTCTACTTTGAAGATATTGAACACATTATTTTCCTAAAAATACAAACTGACGACTGTTGTAGTGTCAGACATAAGAACCACCACACTATGTTACTAAGTCCAGCCAATAATAACAAAGGTCATAATACACAACATAAAATTGCAGTTAGCTATAGCTTTGGACATGTTGAGGAATATTTTCAAATCTGCTGGAATTCAGCCATATGTTGATTGTAGTGTGCACTCCTTAAAAAATAGGTATGTACTGAAGTAAAATGAGAGTACTATATTAGTAAGTCAATAGTGCCCACTACTGTCACAGATGAAGAGCATGAACGGAAGCAATCTCTGACCAATTGTCCTGGGTTTAGCAGTAGCAGTCATTTTTCTCTGTCTTGGTAGCTGGTGCAGTGCTGTGTTTTGACTTTTGGGCTGGGAACAGAGCTGATAAAAATGATGTTTTGGTTTGTCCAAGGACTTTGTGAGCCTCATGCTCTGCCAGGCAGGAGGGGAAGCCAGGAGGAACCAGAGACAGGACACCTGACCCAAACTGACCAAAGAGGTATTCCATACCACAGCACGTCATTCCCAGGGGGGAACTGGGAGTTAGCCAGAAGGGCAGGTGGACTGCAGGGTTGGAGGAGGTATTGGTCGGTGCTTGGTCGGGCTGGGGGGGCGAGTTATTGGTCAGCTGGTGATGAGGTGTTGTATTCTCTTCCCTTGTTATTTCCTTTATCATTACTATTATTGGTGGTAGCAGTAGTGATTTGTGTTATACCTTAGTTACGAAACTGTTCTTATCTCAACCCGTGGGAGTTGCATTCTTTCTGATTCTCCTCTCCGTCCCTCCAGGAGTAGGGGAAGGGCAAGAAGAGGGGGGTAGTGAGTGCACAAGCTGTCTGGGTGGGGTTAAACCACAACACCAATATATGGGAAATATATTCTGATACTGTAATAAACACTTTGCAGTTGTAGAAGTCTGTACAAGTGACTATTTATTAAAAGGACTCAAGGGTGAGGCTCGCAGACTTGCAGAACTGTGATGTATGTAGCACACCACCATTTGCTTCAAGCTAACAGACAACATGAGAATAAACAAGAAACTAACCATCTTTTCTTAAACAACTAGAAACCATTTTCCAATTTTGTCATTGAATCGTATGCAAATTCAATGCTTCCTCTTCCACATATTTGTCACAAATTACTCTAGAGCTCACCTTTCTATAGATGGTATCTTTATATCATACACTAACTTTTCCAGTGTTCAGTGCTTCATTACGAACTTCCTTTCTTCAGTGCTTCATTACGAACTTCCTTTCTTCAGTGTTATTAATATTTTTGCATAGATTTCAACAATATTTATATTTTTAATGCAAATTAAGCAACATCCTGCATACTTTGCATCAAAGACATGCTTTGCAGAAAACAAGGAAATGGCTGCTGAACTATTCAATTTCTGTATCAGATTTCAGAAATCACTGTAATCAGGTAATTTCTGCTATTTCTTCAGAATATTTCTTCAGGACTTATGCAAAGCATTTGACACCATCCCCCACAACATCTTTGTCTCTAAACTGGAGAGACATAAATTTGATGGATGGACTACCCAGTGGATAAAGAACTGGCTGGATGGCCACACACAGAGTTGTGGTCAACAGCACAATGTCCAACTGGTGACGGGTAATGAGCGGTGCCCCTCAGGGGTTGCTGCTGGGACTGATCCCATTCAACACTTCTGTTGGCAACATGGACAGTGGGATTGAGTGCACACTCAGCAAGTTTGGCAGTGACACCAAGCTGTGTGGCTCAATTGAAGCACTGGAGGGCAGAGATGCCACCAGAGGGACCTTGACATGCTTGAGAGGTGGGCCGAATTCCAGCTTTATGAAGCTCAACCAAGCCAAGGGCAAGGTCATACACCTGGGTCAGGGCAATCCTGTGCACAGCTGCAGGCTGGGCAGAGAAATGATTCACAGCAGCCCTGCAGAAAAGATTTGGGGGTGTTGGTCGATGAGAAACAACATGAGCCAGCAGTGTGTGCTCCCAGCCCAGACAGCCAACCACATCCTGGGCTGTATCAAAAGGAGTGTGACCAGCAGGTCAAAGGAGGTGATCCTGCCCCTCTACTCTGCTCTCGTGAGACCAGATGTTTCTAGATCCGTGATTACTGTCTATCTTACATTGATGCAGAGCAGAAGTAACTCCACAAAAATCATGGAACCATTAACTTAATGGAAAGTCAACAATACCAATGAGGAGTTTAGTTTACTAGGTAGGATTTAATTAAGCAGATAGTTCAACATCAGTTTAGAATTTTAACCATAATCTCAGCTGTGAAGACACAGAGATTAGTACATATTCAAGGTATGTTTTCCAGTCTATTCCCATCTGGCCAGTAAAATGAAGCACAAATTTTGTGTTTTGCATGTTATGAATCACTGGCTATAAATTAATACTTATTGCCAGGCTCAGTGCATGAAAAATATTGTTCATGCTTACTGCCAAAACACTGAAGAATGCACTTTTTAATTTCTTTAGTCAGTCAGGAACCAACAAATATATTGGGGAGATACATGAAACTGATGAAAAGTACTACATATAAACAGTGCCTAAAGCACCTGCATGGCAACACTCAGTGCACTTTAGTACTTCAGTAAACATTCCCCCTGATGTATCTGAATGCAATATACAAGTTTTGATCTCTTTTGTTTTGCTTAACCACGATATGAGGCTATTTATTCTTTGAAGGCTCATCATGGGAAAAAAGTTCCTGTCCCCCAGGCTTTAATGATCTTCTGGCTGAAGCTTATAATATACCAGCTTCCTGTCTCCAACAGGGTAGCAGATGATGGAGGCGGAGGGATGGAAGCTGGCAGCCCTGTCATGTGCAGAAGCTGAGAATGTGGTATGGGTCTTTTAAGCACTTACTCTATAGATCTAACAAAGTTTTTGGCAATAATTTTCTTGTGAATATCCACACATGTGTACAGTTGATCACACTGTCTGTCCACCAATTTCCCCTTTACAAGGCAGTGCAAAAGATTTTTTGCTGCTCTTCAGTTCTTCTGGAAATTGAATAGCCAGTTTTTACAGTAATGAAAATACCTATGCACCAAACTCATTAATACATAACATTACATTACAATTTCCAATGTGTTTTAATTAATCTGAATTTAATAGTGTTATTAAACTGTTGGGAAATTTGAGATCTTTTTCTTTAATTTAAACTAGGAAACAAAGTTAAGCCTCCAAATAATCAAATGCTTGAGGAGAGTTCCAAAGTTTAGACATGCTTCTATAGATGTCAGTAAAACCCCTCACTTTATCAATTATCTTATCTCAGCTCAGTTAAATATATGTCAGCTATATGTCAAACACAGTCTCAGTTGCATGTTTCCAAGAACTTTTATAGAAACTCAGCTATATTTGATAATGGTTTTGCATGAAAATTTAGTTTTCATGATTGTAGTTAGTGTAAGCAGCACAAATTACCAATTTTTCTGAATATAATACAAATTTATAGAATACATTATGAGATTTTCTGTTTCAAGCTATTCAAAGTTTTGCACTTATAGTAATGAACATTTTCCCTCAATAACCTGCTCACAGTGTGGTTACTGTAGCTCTCTACAACTACCTGAAAGGAGGATGGAGGGAGGATGTGGCTGGTCTCTCTTCCCAGCTAGCAAGCTATAGGACAAGAGGTAATGGCCTCAAGCTGCACCAGGGGAGATTTAAACTGGATATCAGGAAAAATTTCTTCACCAGGAGGATGATCAGGAATTGGAACAGGCTGCCCAGGGAAGTGGTGGAATCACTATCCCTGGAAGTGTTCAAAAAACCATGAAGATGAGGCCTTCAGTGACATAGTTTAGTGGTGGAGTTGGTATTCCTGGGGTAATGGTTGGACTTGATCTGAAAAGTTTTTTTAGTGGTGGAGTTGGTATTCCTGGGGTAATGGTTGGACTTGATCTGAAAAGTCTTTTCAAAACTAGCTAATTCTATGATTCTGTGCTAAACTATCTTGGACCACGTTTGTAGCCCCATAGAAATTATCATAGGAATCTTGTGCATACATATCTCTTATTCAATGAATCATTGTAGGATAAATATAAAGATTTTCAGTTTCTAGAAATAAAGTTGTAGCACAGCTTATGCCATGCTTACATACGCTTATATACTATATCCTTCAAAACCTCCTTTCTCATTACAGAATAGATTTATTCTTTCTGACATATTTCACTTGTTAGAAATGGTTTCCAAGCAGTCCCACAGAGCTCTGGATGCCAGACTACTTATATGACTCTACTACATCTGTTTCAATTAATGAATAGTTTCCTTAAAATGGGACAAAAGCCAGGATGGTGACACGGACAGCCACTATTCAAAAATGGGAATCATTAGAAGAAATGATAGGACAGAATTTATGAGTAAATAACTCAATTTAAATGGATTGCTGATGAATTTGTTCATTTTTGTTCACTGAAAACATTTATGCTTTCATTTTCAATCACTTAATTTTAAATCTCTTTTGAAAACAGGCATTACAATGTTTGGAATACTTCCAAGCAGTGATTGCTTTAATGTTTATTTTATTGGATCCCATCTGATGTAGCAACATTAGGACTGTAGCAAAGTGAAAAGGAATCCTGCAGAAACCTTATATTTCACTTGAGAGAAGGAAAATACTTATGTATATTAATACGCATTTGTACTTACTCACACACTGCAGGGAAGGACAAACCCACAAAGGCACTAGACAGATATTCTGTATACATTTCATTTGCAACTCCTTCCAGGTAGTATTTCTGCCATGTATCCTCCTCAATCTAAAATAAAAAAAAAACACAGATGCAGACTTCTGAGTAAAACCAAAAGCCTTCTTTAAAATTTACAAACTGCTTAAACATGAATCATCAGATTTTAATAATTAAGTCAGTAGACTGTTATGGCAATTAATATTGTTTTTTTACAGGATTTCCTGGAATGCTGGGAAGAAAAAGTCTATGCAGTCAATAAACCAAGTATCCTATTTAAAAATAACACACTCCATTCTTGTCAAGCATATTCAGCATGAGGTGAAATAAGGTTGTAGACAGCTTAAGGAAAAAAAGTTTCTCAATCTTCTTTTTCTGAACATTCTTGGGTTCAATTGTTGCATTATGAAGTTATTTACATTTAAAACTGTATTTTTTTCTTCTCTGAAGCTATAGCTATCAAGGAAATATGAGAAAAAATATAGAAAGAATTTCTTCAAGGGTCATTATTGCTTTAGGACAGGTCATGAAAACATTTATCTTGTAATTTAACCATTTCTAATAGTTACATTTAAGTCTTTGGGAAAAAAGAAAACCAAACCAAAAATACCTCAAAACCCAACAAAACAACAAACTATTAGTTCCACTGTTTAGGTAGCCCCATTATGGTCTTCATCATAGCAGAAAATGCGACAGCATTGAGTTTAGATAAAATGAAAAAAGTATATTTTTAAAAACTATTGGTAGAGTTTTGCAAGCTACCTGAAGGGCTGAAGTACCAAATACCAACTGATTTCAGAAGGACTTAGACAAATATATATACCTTAAACTTTTCACAACTTCTCTTTTTCTGATATCCCCAGCTTTTCCCAAAGCTCAGATCACATTGCCTAAAGAGATGACGATACTAATCCTGGAGGAAGCTAGGCCCAGTGAAGTGGCAAAAAGCATGCTTCAGGAACATCCGTCCTCATGAATTACTTTGGGTGAGGCTCAAGTGCTTTAATCTACACTGCTGATCTTTCTTGTCTAAAGTCCTAAAGCCAGTGTAATGGCAACCAGGTAAGTATGAGCCACATTATTTTTTTTCCATTACAGAGAAAACTCAGCATTTTAGAAATTCTTATCAAACAATTCAGTCCAGGAAGGTAAACAGCTTATTATTTTAAAATTTATTTTAAAATATAAAAAAAAATTAAAGCAATAAGCTTGCTTCCTCCCGGCTACCCGTGCCCCTCCTCAGTGGCAGAGCACAAGACTAAAAGTCCTTGTTCGAAGTAAGCATTACATAGCAACAGCTAAAAACATCGGTGTGTTATCAGCACTGTTCTCAGACTCCAGTTGAAAACAGAGCACTGCACCAGCTACTAGGAAGGAAAAAAATAACTGCTACAGCTAAACCCAGGACAATCCCCTATGTCAAATGCTTTTGATAATATTCAGTCAATGATTTTAATGGTATGAAATGACTTACAGTAACAAAACTTAGGCCTGTATATTCTTTCTGGTAAAAGCATTATGGTATGTTAGGAGGGGTGTGGGGTTTGTTGTGAATGTATATTCCAAAAGTCAGTGTAACTGTACGTTAGTGTCAGTATTCAAGAAAATAAATTAATACATGCAATGTAAGTGCCCTGGGTAAAAGTGTCCAAAATAATTTTTCAGATATTCAGCAATAAATTGAGAAAAGCATCTCTAACTAACAATTTATCTTTGCCTGTTGTGGCAAACTACAGGTGGTTTAAAACAGTATTAAACCAGATGTAGTTTAAAACAGTATTAAAGCAACAAGTTCTTGTGTAACAAAGAAATTCACTATGTAAATTCAAAAACCGATAAAAATTTAAGATGGGAAAATGCTAATCACCAGACAGTTTAGGTCTGTGACCAACAATATATTCTACGCATTTATAATATATCCAGCAACTGGCTTCTGCCTCTTATAGTTAAAAAAGAATATCACTCATGACTTTCTTATGGATATTAATTCTATTTTTCCTTTAACTGTTTTGTTTATATTGTTGTTTCAGCATTTGTAATTATTCTACTCTAAACTATGCATCTGAACAAGGTATAATCAGATGAAAATGTTAAGAGTTTAACAAAATTTTCAAGCTAAATAATTGATTTTTTTAATTTTAAATTAAATCTTTAGGAGCTTTTAAAATCTTATATGATTTACGAAATAATGTTATATGAGTACAAGCTGTGAACTACATTTTAAAAACAAAAGCTGTAACAGTTATAGAGTCCAATTAATTCCCCGAGGGTTTAGAATATATTTTTCTTGTTCCTTCTTAGACATTTTTATTAAACACTTTATATTTTCTAACAATTTTGTTATAGTTCTGTATTCCATATTCCTACTCCAGTTCCAAATCATGAAGCCCAGAAAATGTCATAAAATAAGGATTCTATAGAAATGTAGTGATGTTGGTCTTCTAATCCTTTTCCTCTTGGAGAGCTGCCTTCATTCCCACTTCCCCTGCCTGAAGTTCCATAAGTCTCTGCCCTTGACTCTGCCTCTTTATTTCTCTTCTCTACCATATCACCACCTAACATCACCCACAATACCAACAGAACTGTTTCTCTAGGCTAATGTCCTGTATATCTTGTTATTTCCTTCTTATCTCTTTTATCCAAATGGAAATATTAGCCTGCCTTACTGTAGACATGTACCAGAGGATGTAGAGCCACCAACTGACAGTACCTTCACTGATAGAGTTCTTTTTCTTACTTCCCCATCAGCAGTATTTCCACCTCCTCTTTCAGGCTCATAATGTGGTTATCTTCTTTGCCTGCTTCAACCCTGTAATTTATTCTACACTCAAATTGTACAGACCCCTTGTCTTCCTACTAATCAGGATAAACTGCCAAAAAAGAAAAACAAAACAGCAACAACCCCCCCCCCAAAAAATACAACAAACAAACAAACAAAAAACAACAACAAAAAACAACCCCAACAAAATGAAGTCTAAATCATGTTAGAAGAAAATTCACCTTTAAAAGCTTTAATAGACAGCAAGACCAGTTCCATGTCTAAGTAGCATTTTATGGATAGCCAGTACCAAAAAAAGTGAGAGATGCAGTATCTACCAAGCCCACTGAGCAAAACCAGAATTATATTATCCATTACCAAGAAATAAAGCAACAGCCACATTAAAAGGCTTCAAAAAGGGAATTAGAGCTTAGCCTTTATGGTGGCAGACGCATATTGTCCTACCAGCATATACAAAAGCTACAGCTCTGCTGATTGCCTAAATGAAAGAAGCATTTTCATACCACGTCCATACATGGCTTGTATTGAAACACCATAATCATAATAATGCTGAGCTTTCTGAATTCTTTAAAAAATCAAAGCTATCTCTTCCCTGTAACAGCCCGGTCCGCAGCTTGTTTAAATCACTCAAACCTCCTCTACCAATTCTGACATGTTTACATCACTGTCTGGACAGCACAAAGCAGAAAGAAACAACAGCGTATTTTGAAATAATGAGTTCAGTTAGAACAAATAAAAAATAAATTTCAGATTATATCATTAATGTTATAATATTATATTAAAATAAAGTTAATATTGCTATACCACATTATTGAAAATTAATATTTCGTTTAGATGTTATGTTATAGCATAACATAATTTCATTAGTATTTAGTGTGACACAAATCTTTCTGGGGAAAAAGGAATCTAGTATTAAAAAATTTGAATTACACAGCTATTTTGACAGGACTTGCATAGCATTTTATGTAAGTCTGCACTGTTATAATACCGCCTGAGTATTAATTTGGGATTCAGCAATCTTTTCCCCAGATTAAACTAGCCAAAAGGCACCCTTTCTAAAGAATGTTCTAAAGAATGCAAGAACTGGAAACTTTTAAAGAAACCAGTGAAATATAAATTATAATGAATTTATTTCTTTTACATTTCCTTCTCCTGTTGATAGGCTGCCAAGTAAACAGTTACTTTAGCTCTGAAGTAAACAACTGCAATAATAAAATGCAACATGGAGATGTTCCAAATCATACACTCCCTGACAAGTGGGCTGCAAACAATCAAGAGAAATTTCTTCCATAGAAATTGTTTCACCATTCAGAGATCATGTGGGATGCTAAAAGGCATTTGCATTGTGTTATTCTCCACCACACACAGAGAGGTCACATCACATTTTTTATAAGCCTCTTATTTATGTGAACCTTGCAAATGTTGCTGATCAGCAACTCTTTATATACATAAAACAGACAAAGTGCAGGCTTGGTAACAAATAAGAGTAATAATAGCAAGGACATGTCTGTAACTGATGGTCTATTTTGTGGATTTTTCTTAGATTGACACCACCTGAAATATACAAATACATTATGTCTTTCTCCTTTCTACTTTCTTCTGTTGTTTTCTTTTCTTTAGGCAGATGGGGTTTATTTGGAGGAAGGAACTGCAGATCAGACCTATAGTTAAGTACCCACCCTTAGTCAAGGACCAAGAAAGAGCTGGAAAAAAGAGAGTCATTCAGTAAGCAGTGATCAAGCTTCATAATGGTTAATGTTAAATTAACCCTAATTACATTTTTGAAATGTTTAAGATCTATTAGGATACCATGAAATGCTGATTAATAAATTTAAAGAATTGCTGATATATGGGATGCTGTAAAATGTTATTATAAGATAATGATGAAGATAATGAGTTAAGATGATCTTTGAATTTATCTTCATTTGAATGATGACATTTCCTCTGTGATTTCAAAGAAAGAGATGATCACCTGCCTGGTATTTTTTTTAAAGGAATACCTTCTGGTCTCCTAGAAATGAAAAGATCATTAGGAACCTCTGGTGTTCAGTATTTCTTTCCTTGAGTCTTGCAGTTTCCCCAAGTTTTAACAGGGTAAGGTTTCACAGATAAATATATCCAGTTTCCCCCATCATCCATGTCAGAAAAGCACTAGTTTCAAAATCCTTAAAGTAATAAAAAATGCTTTAGGACTTACTGTGTTCTTGACTACTTTAAGCCTTTTTGATGATATTATAAACTCTGATGCTGCAGTTAACCTCAAAAACTGAACCACTAAACAGATCTGATTGTT